TAATCTAGTTTGATTCACTGCAGTTCCTGGAGGTTCTCTGGTTTATCCTGATTAAGAAAAAAAACTGTGGTGTCTGAAAGACTGAATTTTCTCCATTCAAAGCATGCAATCAACTATTGCATTAACAGGCCTAGTTTTGAATCTTGTGGTGTGTGAAATATATAACTGGCTATCTGAATGTTGCATATTGATTTAGCAAAAGTATATTTTGCTTTCTTCTTAGGGTAAATGTAAGCATAATTTTATTCCCCTTTATTGTTTTTTTCCTTATTAAAAATTATGGGAAAACCCCTTTTTGAAAATGACACTTTAAAGTAAAAATATAAACATGCCCTAAACAGAAGTAATCTCATTTCCAAGACATATGAAAAGTACATTACAATTTAATCATCTGTTATAACAGGGGCGAAGAAACGTTGGCCCTCCAAATATTGTTGGAATCCAGCTCTGATCATCTACAACTATGTTGGTTGGGGACGATGGGATGTGGGCTTTTAAATACATCTTAAGAGTGTGCTCAATTGCAGCTTTTCCCACCTGACAGCCCTTCAGAACTACTTGACTACACCTTCATCAGACCCAGTTTCAAAAGCAGTTAGCAGTTCTGGCAGGGAATAATGTAATTTGTAGTCCAAAATCTTTGGAAAGCACTGGGTTAGGAAAGGTCAACCTTTTCCAGGCTCTTTGCCCTCCCAGATCCCGAAATGAAGACGCAAGACCATGATTTGGATTAAATACGGACCACACTTTATTAAATCAATTCTGATTACAGTATATCAATCAATTTCCTCCTAAATTGAGGGGGCCTGCGGCAGTGCGGAGAAAGAACTGCATGGCATCCACGATACCCTTCTCAGTCAATGGGGAGTCCCAGGCTCCAGGTTCCAGCTGTCTTGACAACAGGAGGAACCCGGCCGGCCTCTATAAAACACCCCAGACCTCGAGCCATCCATATTTGACGACTGTCAGTCCAAAAGTGGCCCAGCGCATCTTACTGTCTCTGGCCCTGTAATCGCACGATCCGCAGAGCCGGGAGGTCTAATGCGCTGTTGGCTTAGCATAATTATCAAAGGGACACACTGAGACATTCAGTTTTTCCCACACTACCCGCCAGTGTGACCGAGGATAACCAACATCGAATGCCAACAACCCTTCTCCAGTGTGGGATAGGCGAAAAATCCCCCCATCCAAAAGCCAATCAGGATAGAGGTCAAAAATTCCTATCCGGCCACAAAAAGGCAACCTAAATAACACACTAGAAAGAGGGCGGGCGGGTGGGTGCCAGGAATCAAAAGAGAACGTTTTGGGAGCTGGCACTTCTTTAAATAAACGCCAGCCTCCACCCCATTGTCACGTGGCCCAGCAGGCTTGTGTCCTCCGGGGCCAGGAGAGCAAAGCCAGCTTCGCATTTCGAGGGTGCCATAATGCCCCTCGTGCAACCAGAACAGAATTTGTGGAAGCGAAATGACAAAAACATCCCATAAAATGACAGTGATATGCAAATCTCCGTTTTAGTCGTTTGCAGCATATCGGCTAATATGTAGAACCCAAAAGCAACAAGATCCAACTGTGTTCTCAAGGGGCATGGAATGATTTGAACTGGCCATGTGCATTAAATACATATATTATAGCTTGGACAAAATGTATTGCAACAGGAACAGGGAGCTTTTAACACTCCAAATTATTTGGACTTCAACTTCTAGAAACCCCAGCCAGTATGGCTAATGATATGGGTTTATGGGATCTGTAGTCCAAAACATCTGGAAGACTAAATATTCCCCAGTCCTGCTATTCACAGGTGTACTCCGGTATCCCTCTGAATACATCAATCCAGAGTTTGGGACATGCCATAAACAGGGAGAAAGAAACAGGGACACTGCAAAACAGATTATACAGAAAAAGCCAATCACAAAATCAGACATTGCGAACAGGAGACTTATTAGAAAGGGCTATGACTGTTAGCTGCTATCTCAAATAACATTGTTATTGATTTATACCCAAAATATGACTTCTGGCATTTTGTCTTCTCACCCAAAAGCAGAATATGGCTCATAAAAACAAAAATCCCTAAGAGAAAGCCATAAACTCAATTTTGCTTACAATGCACATGTAATGGGAACATGTGGCTGGAGAACCTCCAAAAATACAGAAATACCTTTACATGCATGACACACCTGACTGGGCCCAGCACTTCTCCTCACACCTAGCCAATAGCAAAACAGCTGAAAAGGAATGGGGAAGGCCGGACCACGTAGCATGACTTACTATAGCTGCACTGCAACTATGTTATTGTGCAGCACAGCAAATCATTATTTTTCAAGGCAGCCCAAACAAAAAAAAAAAAATAACTTTGAAACTGGACTTCAGATCAGCATGAAATAAGGCACAGGTGTAACATACAGTCAGCCCTTGTTCTGTGCCAAGTTTGGGGGAGTTTAGGCAAACAGTTTTGAGTTATGATATTTTAAAAGTAAAACTGTTCCTTCCCCTGTGCAGAAACAAGCAACCCTAAATGTCTCCAGATTTAAAATAGGTCACACAAATTGAAAAGACCAGTCTTGCTTATCTTGAAAGAGAATGGCATGTTCCAACTGCTTTTTCCCTGCTGTTTGTTTGGAAAGACTCCAGGATGTAGGGGATGAAAAAGGCCTTTCAAAAAGTAAAAACAACCACTTTGTTACAAGACTGAGCATGTGTGGAACAAGCTTACTAGCAAGAGTCTTCCAAAGTAGATACACTGTTGCAGCTTTGTGGTCCCATTCACGAAGTATCAATAAGCAAGGGAAAATCCAAGAAGCGGACTCCTTCATAGATACCAGTTAACCACTTCCCACTCAAACACAAAGCAACTGTCAAGGCTGTTTTTCAACAAGAGTGAAAGGAAGTGACCAGAAAAGGGTCTCCTGTAGACCATCTTGACTGCTGCCACGGGTGCTGTCAATATTCAGGCTGCCCTTTGCTGTGTAAAGCTTGGCATCCTTTTTCCTGCTGGCAATGTGGGTGTGCTATTCTGCAGCAATACTGGGCGTTTTCCTGGCGTTTTGAATTGTGGATATTGAAGCATAATATCCCACATTTATAAACCAGAAGTATTTTTAAAGAACTTAATTGAACTAAATATTAGTACAGAGAGGCAGAGGGAGAGATGAGGGTTGACTACTGCCAGATGGCCCATAGTATGCAGTTAGGGCTTACATCTGAATCGATTGAGGAAATTTATTCAGAGCTTTGGAAAGTCATTCTTTTGGATTACAATTCCCAGAAGCCCCCAGGCAGCAGGGATTCTGGGAACTATAGTCCCAAACCCCAAATTTTATGAGCTCTAGGGCAAAGCCTGCAGGTTTTTTTGTCCAGCATTCTCATTCAATTCTAAAAGGGTAAAGCTGTTGGAGAGGTATTTTTAAGGGTTTCATACAGCACTGCACCCTGCATGATATTCCATGATGTTTAGGCTCTTCATTACTTTTTCTGCTTTAATCCAGCAGCAGAAACCTGAAGGGTCCACTTCTGCCAAAGCAGCAAGAGGTTAGAGAAGCAGATTTTGGTTGCACTGAAGCCAATAGCTTCACTGGGGGAATTAAGCCAACAGTAAGGGAGAAAGCCCTTTTTCAGACACAATGGACTGGATCCAAAAGTGCTATTACACAGGTGTAAAGGGGCGCCTTTCATTTTCACTGATCCTCCTCCCCTCATGTAGCCCCCTTGTGCTATGCACCACATCCCATGACATTTCAGAAGGTTCTCTAATCCACAGAGTAGTGACAGAGGGGCTACAAGAAACTTTGTTAGAAAGGGGGAGGGGGTGAGAAAGCTCTGTTGTGAGCAGAATTCTGTTCCCAGAAATGAGGACCCAGGTCACTGAGCAGAATGTTGTACTGTAGTTTGCACACAAGGCATGCAACCAAGCAGGTATTTGGGACTAGATGTGCTCATTCAGTGCATTCAATCTCCAGACAAAGGCAGTGCACAAGGTGGATGGCATATTACTCTGGAACCCTGCAAATCCACATGGGGAATAATGGGTGCATTTACAAGACTGAAGGTTGTTCAGCTGAAAATCTAGTTTCTTAGTAATGCCAAGGCTGAATAGTATACAGTGGTGCCCCACTTGATGACGATAATCAGTTCCAGCAAAATCGCTGTACAGCGCAATCGTCATCAAGTGGGGAAAAAACCATTGGAATGCATTGAAAATCTGTCAATGCGTTCCAATGAGGGAAATACCTGCTCGTGCAGCGAAAATCCTCCATACGGCAGCCATTTTCTACTCCCTGTCTTGCGAAATCAAGCCAGCAAAACAGCGGGGAGCCATTTTGAGAGCCGCCGATCAGCTGTTTTTAGATCGTCGTTTAGCGAAAAATCGGCTCCCAAAGCAGGGAACTGATCCTCGTCAAGCGGATTTTCCCCATACAAACATCATTTTGCGATCACTATAGTGATCGCAAAATACTCAACATCAAGTGATTTCATCATCTAAAGAGGTAATCGTCAAGTGGGGCAACACTGTATGCCTTTGAAATGATAAATTTCCTGCCCTTCAGCTGTAATACTATAGAACCAGGTGGAGCCAATGGATTAGACTGTGGTGCAGTCTAATCCATTGCCCCAAGACACCAGCTGTCCTACAGGATCAACCCACACAATTCAAGACAGTTTAAGCTCTGATCTAAGAGCCCGAAGGAGAGACAGTGTGGCCCTGAGTTCTTACACAGGGCCCATGGGTGCAAGACTCACCAATTATTGCAGCCAGCACCCTGAACTATTAAATCATCTTCAACATTTGAGCTAGCATTCTTCCCTGAGCTCCATAACCAAGGATGGCAAAACACACTATGGTATTGATCTAGTCACCTAGACTGTATAAATCTCAGCAAAGATCATTGGATGCTGGCAATGGATTTTCAGTGCTTGAAATAGGGAAACATGTCACCTTGACACACATTCTGAGAAGAATGCAAAAATCCATCACACAATTCATCTTGGGACATAAAACAGCCAACTACGTACATTATCAGTCTATTGCTTTCTAGTTGTCACATTCTGCCACAAAACATACTTGTGGGTCATGAAGTGGGTCATGAAATAAGACGAGGTAGAATTTTCCTTTCATACCCTTTTCAGCAAATGTTTCTATGATTTCTTGAAGCACAGGTGTCCATATAAGATTTCTTCTGCTTACTTCTGTTAGCTTTTGGTATCTAGCATTGCTTTTTCTTCATCGGCAGGGTGCTTAAGGCTGTCATGCCCTCGTATTGTGAGAAAAGAGTATCGCAACCCTCCTGCCATGCTAAAGGAGGAAAGAAAAGAACACTCACATGCATGCACATTGTCAGAAAACCATGTTATCTATCCTCTAGGTCAGTGATTCCCAACCTTGCATAACCCAGGTGTTCTTGGACTGCAACTCCCGGAAGCCTTCGCCACCAGCTGTGCTGGCTGGGGGTTTCTGGGAGTTGTAGTCCAAGAACACCTGGGCTACCCAAGGTTGGGAAGCACTGCTCTTATTGACCCTGACATATACTATGTTTTAAAAAACATACTCACCAAATATTGAGTCCAATGAAGTTCAATACTGAGAAGATGTAGTCTCCACCAACCAGCATTCCAATATAAGCAATGGAAACATTCTGTAAACAAAAAAAAAACAAAACAAAAAAAAAGGATGTGCCTGCTTGGCCCTGCTTGGTCTCTTAGTCTCACAGTGCTTTCAGACATGCTTCAAAATGTACTGTAAGAATTACAAACCATTAAAAAGGTATTCTGGTTTAAAATAGACAGACTCAAAATAATTTCCTGGCTAGTGGATAAGGGAAAATCTTTCACACTATGCCTGTGGCAGTATCTTCCACTGATATGACACATGGGCCAGAATCCTATTTGTTTAGGCAGCCACATAACGGAAATCAGGTAGATACTCTAGTAATGAAATTGAGTGCATGGCCAGTCCAGCAATCAGTCAGGGAAAGGAAGCATGATGCACTTTTCTCCTCAATTGGACTTTGGCCATGCTCTTGGATAACTGAAAGAGGGAAAACAGTTCAGTAAGTGATGTCAGTGTGGTGTAGCAGATGGAGTGATGGACTAGGACTGAGGAGACCTGCGCCTGAATCCCTGCTTGGCCACAGAAATTCAGCAGGGTGGGGATGGAAGTGGTTAAAACACCCCTTTAATGTCTAATTTACCTTGAAAGCTCTGTTAGGGTAAATCCGTTCCGACTTGATGGCAAATAACAAGTAAAATCAAATTGTGAGCTGCTGAAGTGTACTCGTTGTGAAGATATAATGTCTGGCTTCAATTACTGAACTCCTCACATCCATTAGAACTTAAAGGAACTTTAGAGTTTTTCTATGATGCTTCTAGCTCCTGTGTCAGAAACTCTGGTTTGTTTATCTGTTTTTATTTAATATATCATTATTAAAATGTTTTAACTTGCTGTAAACGGCCTAGAATAGTGCATTGCATTAATGGGGTGATAGGTAGGTAGACAGATAGACAGATAGACAGACAGACAGATAGACAGACAGACAGACAGATCACCTTGGCATCAAGACAATGAAGCTTCTGTTGGAGAAGCTGAAACTACTTGCAGACATAGAGTAGCCTGAAGAATTTGCATGTGTTCTTCTGACCCTGGCACGGGCCATTCATTCCTCTTGGTTACTTTACCTTTATAGCACCAACTACTGTGGTTGTGAGGGCAGAATTATAATGGCTGCAGAGAACTGTAGAATACATCAGAAGAAACCTGGTAAAGATAAATAGGTCTTTCAGCCTGACTCTTGCAATATTTTTCATCAGAAGCCAACATGCATGGGATTGCAGCTTGAGCACTATAATTCCACATTAATGCCACACAGGGCCATAATCGAAAAGAAGCTGAATTTGGAGAGCTGTATAAAATTGTGCAAATGTAAGGTTCATGCCCCTGGCACTCCCACAGAATCCTGTGATCTATCAGAAACCCAAAGGAAGGAAAGAGGAGCAGAGATGCTAAAAACAATACAATGTTATAAGGGTACCTATAATATCAGTGACTAGTGGAACTCATCCACAGTTTTGAAAGGTCTGAGTCATGCTCAAGAATTAACAGACGTGCTGCTCACTGTGACATGCTTTCTAGGTTTTAAATGTGTTGAGCCTGGTGATAAATGAGAGAATGACACTGCTCTGGATCTCTCCTCTCACAATTCATGAGGAGCAGGAGTAGGTGGTTCCCATTTTGGCTGATGGGGCAGAAAGCAGAGCAGCGCCAAGGGTAAAATGGGGGTATTCGTATACACAAATGCACACTTGCAGGAAGGCAAGGTGGCACTCACACATACATAGCGCAGGAGATGAACACACAGGAATCCTGGCCATCTCCCTCTGGTAGAAGACAAGCAGGACTGGGCTGGCTAGGGGTAGCCTGGGCCAGAGAGGGGGGTAGTGCCCCATTAGCTCTATGGACCAGCCACCAATAGTGAGGAATATTCTCCCCATGGAAGCTCAGTGGTGTCAATAGTGGCTTAAAATATGGCTCTTTACCAAAACCTCTGGGCCCGGCAAACATAGTTTGGTTCTGAGCTATTGGGTTATGAATTTCTATCCACTGTTTTTTTCCTGCTGATTCCTTCCCTGCTTTCTTTTCTTCTTTCATTTTAAATAATGGTTTGATTACCTCACTCTCTGCATTCTTCCCTGAGCTCTCTAGATAAAAGGACTGAATATATTTTTAATATACAGTGGTGCCCCACTTGAAGAGGATAATCCGTTCCGTTCAAATCGCTGTTAAGCGAAATCCTCGCCAAGCAAAATGAAAAAGCCAATTGAAAACCGCTCAATGTGTTCCGATGGGTGAAATACCCCAGCGTCCAGCGAAGATCCTCCATAGGGCAGCCATATTCTGGTGCTTGTAATGTGAGGAATCCATCCTAAGCACAGTGGGGAGCCATTTTAAACAGCGGGCGGACATTGTGAAACCCAACAGCTGTTTTCTGATCGTCATAAAGCAAAAAATCGGTTCCCGAAGCAGGGAGGGAACCGATCATGGTGAAGCAATTTTTCCCGTTTAAAACATCGTTTTGCGATTTTAAAAACTTCATCGTAAAGCGATTTCCTCTTCTAACGAGGTAATCGTCAAGTGGGGCACCACTGTACCTTTTAAAAATAAAATGAATAAAAAGAAGTATGATTTGGTACGGACAGTAATGCCAGGATGAACAATGGGGGGG